TATTATTATAATATTAATATGTATATGTGTATATGGGTATATTATAATAATAATATACATGTATATATGTATATGTATATTATATATATTATATATGTATATATATACATATATACATATATGATATATTTATGTGTATATATGTACATTATAGTATATGTGTAAGTAAGTTTAATAATAATAATATATGTTATTAATTTTACAATATAATATATGCATTTAATACATTGGTGAGCATTGTGACTAGCTAATCCTCCCTTTCAACATGGGATTAGTAGTCCCCTCCTAAGGAGGTGTTTTTGGTGGGCCCAGTATTAGCAATCCCATCTAAGACTAGGATTAGATAAAATAAATATATTGTACTAAATTTAGTCAAAGCCAGTTCAAGCCAATTCTATGTACCAAACGAGCCCTAATTTCTTTAAAATTGAAAACCCAACCCAAAATTTCATGATAAAAAGGACGCAGAGAAGTAGGTCCTAATCATGACCGTTTATCGGTGGACACAACTGAAACAGCGGAGCATCTCTACGTGTAATATAAGCTCATCACAAACGCTCACTCAATCTCAGCCGTTCATCGCCGACGTCATTAAATCGTTTTGACCATTTTATTCGGATGGTCCATTTTGCATATCAAGGTTCGTGAACTGGAGCTCTCTCCATTTCCCACCTGAGCATTCTCTCTCCTCTCTCTCAGTCTCGTTCTCGTTGATTGCCTGATTCGGCGACGCATCGAGGTTCATCTGCCGCAGTTCTTGCCATGGTAAGCAATCAATTTCTCTATCCGCCCACATCTTTTGTTGAATTTTATTTTTGATGCTTAACATTCACTGCCCTAGGTTTCACTCTGATTCAAGCCCATTTCCATGTTTCTATCAATCCATATTTGTTTTGTATATTATTTAATTCTGAAATGTGTTCTTTAGTAGATCTGCTGTGGCTTTTTCTTCTTTTCCTTGATTTGCTATCTGATTGGTAACTGGGAAAATTGAGCAAAGTAGCTCGAAAGGGCGAGAAATTTTAATTATGAACGGGTTTTTAAGGTATTTAATACCTGTTGGAGCTCTCCTTAGCTAAGCCCATCTTTTAATTAGGCTTGACTGAAGAAAGATTTTGACTTTAGGTTCCAAATTGGTTACGAGTCTTTCAGTCGACATCTTTATCACCCCCATTATCACCATTTTCTTTTTGTCTTAAAGCTGCTTTGAAATATAGTGGTGATTAGGGAATCACCTTAGACTTCTTGGATTAATCCAATTTTTGTCTTGGGTGAGTTTTGTGTGAAACTATCTCCCAGGTCAAACGCATGAAGTTTGGTGTAGAAACATTTCAATCTTCTAGTGCGTGTGCTTGTATTGCCATCTTCATTAAATAAAGAATCTATGAGAAAATAAATGTTGCGCGTAGGCCACACTTTATCATAACATTAATGTTTCATTATGGTTGCTGTGCTGTAATTTGATGTTGGATTTTTTCATCCATGTTTTTTGGAAGTTGTTTCATGTCAACTGTAGTTTTATTTTGATTGTTAACTCTGAAGAATACTTGTTAGAGGCACAGTTCACTATGGGGAAATTAACTGATCTGTCTTCTTTCTTGTTAATTCATAGGCACCCATCAAGGGTATTCTTTCTCTGCCAAGAGCAGCTTTAGCTCGTCATCATGGTGAGAAGTGGGGCCTAGGGTTGAGATCATTCAGCACTCAGGGTGCAACAACTGCTACTACTCCTCAACCTCCACCACCTCCCCCACCTCCAGAGAAAACCCATTTTGGTGGTTTGAAAGATGAAGACCGAATTTTTACCAACTTATATGGGTTGCATGACCCATTTCTCAAAGGTGCCATGAAGCGAGGTGACTGGCACAGAACCAAAGATATAGTTATTAAAGGTGCTGATTGGATTGTCAATGAAATGAAGAAGTCTGGCCTCCGTGGACGTGGTGGTGCTGGTTTTCCATCTGGCCTCAAATGGTCTTTTATGCCAAAAGTATCTGATGGACGTCCTTCCTATCTTGTTGTCAATGCTGATGAAAGTGAACCTGGAACCTGTAAGGACAGGGAAATTATGCGCCATGATCCACACAAACTTTTAGAGGGTTGCCTGATTGCTGGTGTTGGGATGAGGGCCAGTGCTGCTTACATCTACATAAGAGGTGAATATGTGAATGAACGGATCAACCTCGAAAAGGCCAGAAAAGAAGCCTATGAAGCTGGGTTGCTGGGCAAAAATGCATGTGGATCTGGTTATGATTTTGATGTTCATATCCACTTTGGTGCTGGTGCTTATATTTGTGGTGAAGAAACAGCGCTTCTGGAAAGCCTTGAAGGGAAACAGGGGAAGCCACGATTGAAGCCTCCTTTCCCTGCTAATGCAGGGTTATATGGCTGCCCCACCACTGTTACAAATGTGGAAACGGTGGCTGTTTCTCCCACCATTTTAAGGCGTGGACCAGAGTGGTTTGCCAGTTTTGGGAGAAAGAACAATGCGGGGACAAAATTGTTTTGTATTTCAGGACATGTCAACAAGCCTTGCACAGTTGAAGAGGAGATGAGCATACCCTTGAAAGAGTTATTAGAGAGGCACTGTGGAGGTGTGAGGGGTGGATGGGACAACTTGCTTGCAGTAATTCCAGGTGGTTCATCTGTTCCACTACTTACCAAGGATATATGTAATGATGTATTGATGGATTTTGATGCCCTTAAGGCTGTCCAGTCAGGATTGGGGACTGCAGCTGTTATTGTGATGGATAAATCAACTGACATTGTGGATGCAATCGCGAGGCTTTCTTACTTCTACAAGCATGAGAGTTGTGGGCAGTGCACACCATGTAGGGAAGGGACAGGATGGCTTTGGATGATCATGGAAAGAATGAAAGTCGGGAATGCAAAGTTGGAAGAGATTGACATGCTTCAGGAGGTGACCAAGCAGATTGAGGGGCACACAATCTGTGCTTTGGGGGATGCTGCTGCCTGGCCTGTGCAAGGTCTAATAAGGCATTTCAGGCCAGAGCTTGAGAGGAGGATCAGGGAGCGTGCAGAGCGGGAATTGCTGGAAGCAGCCGCTTGAGTGCTTCTCTCAGGTTGCTTCTTGTATCTATTCTGCATTCATTTCTTCATTCAATTTCTAAAAGTAAGAAACTTAAGGAGAAAAGCTATACAAATAACTTCAACTTGGTGTACTTTGGAATATATTTGTTATTTTGTTGTAAGACCACCCATCAGGTGGCCTGGTCTGGTTTTCTGAACCTATATACATATGTGGGTTCTCTTGGATTTAAGGAAAGAAGTAAAACATTAGAAGGATGTCTTATATGTTCATGTTGAGCAATAAAGTTGCTACACTGTAGTCTTTTCTTTCCTTCGTTCAATGGTTGACTGGATATATTACTTGTGAGAAAACCTATGTACTACCTTCTAACTAAGATAGTGAATTGCGGAGATCTCAACTGGCAATTTTGACGTTAATATGATCAAGTTAAGAACACTCAGCAAGATAAGTAGAAGATTAACTAGCATTGCTGCTTCTATGTCTAGTGGAGTTGATGCATCCGTCATTGTCCTGAGTAGATTTAGATGTCATTGACAGACCTTTTCAGTGTATGTGGAGGGTAAATGTTTTCTTCTTTGATACATGAGATCACTAGGTTGCTGTTGGCACACCCTTTGATATTTTTCTATGGGCTAAAGCATTTATCACTTGGTATAATAAAGGATTTTTCTGCTTTGTAGGTTAAAGCTTGTATTGGTGGAAATCATGGAATAAAATAAAGTACGTACCCCAGATTTCGGGAAGATAGGTTACTCAGGCGGCAGCTGGTGGTCCAGCTGCTAGTGTTTGTTTTTAAGCTGTATCAACTCTTTGACCTCACTGTCCCAGAGAAACACTGATTCATTGTGGAAGTGTCTGGGCAGGATATTTATGTTGTGTTTCCAGATCATGTTTTCCTTACACAGTTGGAATTTTGTTAATAAATTTTGTTTTTCTTTCCCTGTTTTATGTAATGAGATTAATAAAGTACTTAGGGTAGTTTATAGATGGGATTGTCAACGTTTTTCTTCTGCAGCTTGAGATGATTGACCTAAAATACAGATACATGCACGTTTTTCTTCTACTGCTTGAGATGATTGACCTAAAATACAGATACATACACAGACGCAATAAGCTAAAGGGTGTAAACTGTTTAATTACTAATTATCACCGGTACATTTCTAGTTGTTGAATTGAGAAGATTGGGCTAAGGACTAAGCCCGAACCCTAAGGTTGTCATGATCCCCAGCAATGTTTCATGCGTCAAAACCCATTAGTCAAAAGCATTCAAGAATTTCTTGACAGAAAAAATAAAGAAAAACATTCAAGAATTCACGGTAGTTGATATCTTAAGCATCCAAATTCTCCATTATCAACCCCTGGTATCTATATACCAACTACCATTTTAATCATGTTGAAATGGATGTTTTCCTACCGTTTGATTAAGAGAGAAAAAAAACTTGACATTGATGCTTCAACCTCCCGAGTCCCGACTATATGCCATAGTTGAAAACAACTCATTCAATTATAAATAAATAAATAAAAACGTGAGTTATAAAAAGGAACAACGACGCCAAGAAATATGTACAAATTAAAATGAAACTAGTGACTCGTGCCCCATTCTAACTTGTTAGCCTTGTGTTACAATCAAAGATCAACAGATCTCGAATCAAAAGAAAAGTTATGATCGAAGGTTTTCTAAGAACTTGTTAACTTTGTGGTACAACCGAAGATTAGGTATTAAGTTCGATTGACATCGAATCGGCGAAGTTTAGCCGAAAATGAAGTGAGACCCCACCAACTTTTTGTTTAACAGGCCAAGAAATTAAGGGTCCAAAGAAGATGCAGAGCCCAATACAATGATTCAACCAGTTAGCGGGCAAAAGAAAGGGCCCAGATCTATTAGGCGAGGGAGACAGTGTGCTTCCCGCAAAACGCGGTTATCATATATCATCCTCTTCTTCCTTTTTCGAACGACTTTTTATTTCCTCTTTCGTATTCTCACGCACGCACATTTCCAATTTTTCTCATTTTGACGCAACGTAGAAAAGTGAAGCAGAGACACGGAGGAAGGAAGAAGCAGTGGCCAGACCAACAAAGTCTCGTGCTTTTCTTCATTCTCTCCCACATTCCTCTCTCTCTCTCTCTCTCTCTCTCTCTCTCTCTCTCTCTCTTGCTCTCCGTTAACTCATTGTAAGTTCGCTCACATTTCTTTGATTCTTCCAAGCTCCGATCTTCGTTGAAGTGGCTGCAATTCCAATTGCTTGTTATTGTCTTCTTCTCTCTGATTCCGATCTAATTCTGAGTTTCATTTCTCTTTATCAATATTTGGACGAAAAAGTCAAAATGTTTTGTTTTTTTGGTTGATTCACTGCTGCTGTTCTGATCACCCTTTTTGTCCGTTTCAATTTTGGCTAGTTTTGTTCGTATTTTCAAAGAACAGGTAGGCCAGAGGTTTTGTCACCGTGCGTTTGAGGCTTTTGTCAGCATTTGTTTATCAAAAGCAGCTGAATGAGTGGGGTGGGTGATACCCAAAAATTATTAAACCTCCCCACGTTCTATCTTGTACTCATTTTGTCTCTCGTGGTCAAAAATTATCTGCCCATTATTTTTCTTTTGCTTTTTGTTTGTTGTTTATTGAAATTCATCACTGTGCATTGAATCTTTTTATTAAATTAAATTCATAGAATAGAGTTGAGAATTTGAAAATGTTTTTTTCTTAGGCTTTCTTTGTTCCCCTTTTATCTGATTTTGTGAAGTGTATCTTTGTAAGAAGGTTTCATGGATGTAGAAGCATTGTAACTTGTGCTACCCATCAAGAGCTTTCCAGGCACTTCTCATAACAATGGTTCTGGGGATAAGAACAAAGAGCAGGAAGAGCACAGCTGTTCAGGTTGATTACCTTATCCATGTACAGGAGATTAAACCATGGCCCTCATCTCAGGCTTTGAGATCTGTACAGTCTGTGTTGCTTCAATGGGAAAATGGTGATCAAGCTTCTGGATCCTTTACTTGTAATGTTGGAGATGGGAAGATCGAATTCGGGGAGTCTTTCACCCTTCCAGTCACTTTGTACAGGGAGAAATCAAGAAAAAGCACTGTACGTGACACTTACCAGAAGAACAACTTGGAATTTTACTTGTATGAACCTCGAAAAGACAAGGCAGTGAAAGGTCAACTATTGGCATCAGCTGTGATAAATCTTGCAGACTATGGGATCATCATAGAAACCAGAAATGTGAGCACTCCATTGAACTGGAAGAAAAGTTTTAAGAGTTCCGCTCAACCGGTTCTTTATGTTAATGTTCAGCCATGTGTTAAACCTAGCTCCAGCTTGTCACCAAAGGGCAGCTTGTCCAGAGAAGTGTCTCTGGAGAATGATGGAACTGAATCTGTTCCAGAGTCTATGAATGATGGCAATGATGAGATTGCCTCATTTACTGATGATGATGAAGATGATGATGATGGTGTTTCCTCACATTCATCACATACTGTAACCTCCTCTGCTTTTGAGAAAACAGTCAGTTCATTACCTAGCAGCAGTGAAAAGGTATGTGGAGCTAATTTAATAAGTTTTCCTTTTTAGATTAACTTCTTTGCTTTTCTGCTATTATAATTTTGAAAATGCCGTGTGAAAGTCCTTACTCTGTGATTAGTGGTACAGAATATGATATATGTGTATATATATATATATATCTTTTTTTGTATGATTTCTCCAGTTTAAATATTCTTGCATCTAATTTATTATGTAGAATTAGGTTTATCGAATTTAATTTAATTGCAGATCCATGGCCGTACAATGAATAAACTACGTACCTTAACTTAAGGTCTTCAAATACAATATCTGAGAATCCAAATCATCTGCTCATGAGTACTAGCATCATCATAATTTTCATACTCATATGCATAGGTATGTCCAAAGAAAACTACCTAATGATGTGGTTGCAATCATCCAGCCGGTTTACTTTAATATCTGGGCTACTTCTGCACCAATCAAATGGTGGACCATTATTGCAGATCATTTACTGCACTACAACAATTTCTGATACCCTGATTGTGTTTGATCTGATGGGTTGCTTATCTTTGTCTAAGCGAATTCATTTGGGTATCTTCAGATTGTTTAACAGCCATATATAACTAATTGCAGAATGAATCAGAATCAACAACTGATAGCACTAGACGGCTTTATGGGGAGCCTGCTGTTGAGTCAATAGCAGCACCTGCAAGCACAGGGGCAACTCCAGTGGCTAAAGCATTCAAAAACCAAAATGGAAGTTCATCGCCATCATCGTCAATAGGATCTTCCTCCATTCTGCTGAACCCTGCAAATGACCCTGCTTCTTTGCCTAACGTTCCAAGGGAGAGCTCAATGCCAACCCTGAAAAAATCTCTCACTCCCTCTGTTGTTCAATCATCTTCTTCATCCTTTGGCCATCAAGAAAGCCATCAAGAATCTGGTAACCATAATATTAAGGACAACAGAATTCACAAAACTCTTTCTAACAGCAGTGCCAGAATGAATGAAATTTCTCAAGTGGGTAATATTGTCAGTAACCATGCTACAGAAGGTGCATCCTCAAGCACGCCTATTCAGGAGGACACAGACTCAGTATTTGCAAGCAATGCAGATTCGCAAGCTAATCGAGAGGATGGTCATCTCCTAAAGGTGAAAGAATATTCATTTGATGACAAATTAGCTTCTAGATTTTCACAAGATGCTACCAGAAAGCAAGTCAGGTTAAAGAGTGAAACTTTTACACTAGGCAGGAATACTGTTGGAGTGCAGGGCAGTAAGGTTAAAAGTAATGAATTAAAGCATGTAAAGTCTTTGCAGTTACCTTTTGTCTCAGCTCAGAACAATAGACTGCCAAGTAATAATGAGTTTGTCGAGAAGTCGAAGGAAGCTGATATTCCTGAAGATGTTCATGTTCGTGGTATGATTAGTGGAACAAGTGAAAGAGAAGAAACAACAACCAGATTTTCTGATAGCAAAGTTGACTTGGAGTCCACAATTGAATTGCTTAAGGAAGAATTGAGAGAAGCTGCTGCTGTTGAGGTTGGCCTCTACTCAGTTGCCGCTGAGCATGGGAGCTCTGCAAATAAGATTCATGCTCCTGCTCGAAGACTGTCTAGATTCTATTTTCATGCTTGCAAAACGAGCTCTCAAGCTAAGAAGGGAAACGCAGCAAGAGCTGCTATTACTGGATTGATTTTGGTGTCTAAAGCATGTGGAAATGATGTTCCAAGGTACTTGAAGCTAAATAAATGGAAGATGAATAATATACTGGCTATGGCTTATCGTAAAACTAATGATGGTCTAATATGCAAATCAGAGTAACCAGAAGCCCTAGTAATAAGTGATCCAGAGGATAGTTGACTGTCTGTTTCGGGATACAAATGACACATGAAACGGATCAGGATTTACCATAAACTGATTGGCTACGAATAGTATCTTTGTCCCCATGGGCCATATATATTTTTCCTTTTTCCCTTGATGATCCAAATCATTTAATATGATGAGTTCTAAATGGATGTTAAAATACTTCTCTTTTAGTTTGACAGTTTATTGTATGTGTTGTTGCCAATAAACAGGTTGACATTCTGGTTGTCGAATTCAATTGTGTTGAGAGCTATCATCAGCCAGACCTTAGGGAAACCACAAATTTCTGCTCGACCCCGGAATAAAATTAATGCTGGGGGACTTTTATCAGCAAAGAAGGAAGAGAATGATAGGACTCTTGAAAGTTTTGATAATTGGGAAGATCCACAGATATTTATGGCCGCTTTGGAAAAGTTCGAAAGTTGGATCTTCTCCCGAATTGTTGAGTCTGTATGGTGGCAGGTAAATCCGTATTGTTTTCAGTTTTCTTCATTATTGTCATCATCATCTCTTTTCATTCTTTCAATACTGAGCTCTATCTACAGGAAGTTTAGACTAGATCTGAAAGTCCTTGCTATTCATGTCTGATATTGTATCTTGTTTTCCCTTCTCCAGAATATGACTCCATATATGCAGTCAGCAGCTGCAAAGGCCTCAAGCTCAAGGAAAACCTATGGAAGGAAGTATGGTTTGGGTGGTCATGAGCAGGGTAATTTTTCTATGGAGCTGTGGAAAAAGGCTTTCAAAGATGCCTGTGAAAGGCTTTGTCCTGCAAGAGCTGGTGGACATGAGTGTGGTTGCTTGCCTCTGCTGGCTCGTTTGGTATGTTTATGCATTACCATCCCTTCCTCAATGTGCACGTTGAGCTTTTCACTTCACCTGGAAACCCCTAAAGGTTAACATAAGAATATTGGAGCTCAACACTCGGTGCACATGCTATAGGTAGCCCGAGCTATACCACCAATGTTTGAATGAAAACATATCTAGTGTTTTATTTTATGTGTCCAACTTCCAGTAGAATTCCAATACTACATTAGAGTGAGCTTTACTATTTCAGCATGTTTCCATATGTCATTTAAAGATCTGTCACATGATTTTGCCACTTTCATCAAAATTTATGCATACTTGTAAATGCATGGTTTTTCAGGTAATGGAGCAGTTAGTGGATAGATTGGATGTGGCTATGTTCAATGCTATTCTTCGTGAAAATGCTGAAGAGATGCCCACAGATCCTGTGTCTGACCCCATAAGTGATTCCAAGGTTCTCCCTATTCCAGCTGGAAAGTCAAGCTTTGGGGCTGGTGCACAGCTAAAAAACGCGGTAAGTGTGACACCTAATCATGTGAGGTAATTAGTCACAAATATTTGTTTTTCGGCCGTTAAATAGTCACGTATTCTTTTATACATGAATCACTAGTAGTCTTGCATTCATTGATAAAAGGACTCTGCTTGTCTTCGTATCCCCAGATTGGAAGCTGGTCCCGATGGCTTACTGATCTATTTGGTATAGATGATAGTGATGCTCCTGATGATGATACTGAACTCAGTGATCAAAAGCGACTAAACTGCGAAACATCCTTCAAAGCTTTCCGTCTTCTTAATGCTTTGAGTGATCTGATGATGCTTCCATTTGATATGCTTGCAGATAAATCCACCAGAAAAGAAGTAAGCACTGGGTTTGTGTACCACACCCCCCCACCCCCACCAAAGTTAAAATAAAGAAATAAACTGAGTTTATAATAACTCCCTGCCATTTTGTAATGATCACTGTTTCATTGATTATCTGCAGGTATGCCCTACATTTGGTGCACCACTGATCAAGAGGGTTCTTTACAATTTTGTTTCAGACGAGTTTTGCCCAGACCCAATTCCCGAAGCAGTTTTTGAGGCTCTTGATTATGAGGTAACCTAGAGGACCTCTACTATCTCTGCAAAAAACTATTCAGCTTATATACTGCACTGCATTCCTGTTTGAATGGTGTAAGACTGATTTGCTCTGATTGATTGTTTTATTACTTTAACTAGCTATTCTCTGGAAACAAGAATCATGAAACTCGGGGTGGAAGCCCTCGTCTTTGTGGGTTTCAGTTTGCATTAATCTATTTCAATTTTTATTTATTCAGGAGAATTTAGAAGCTGAAGTAGAGTCTGCTTCAAGTTTCCCATGTGCTGCAAATCCTACAGTCTATTCACCACCTCCAGCTGCTTCACTAATAGGCATTATAGGAGAGGTGGGAAGTCCAACTCTCTTGAGGAGTGGGTCATCAGTGGTTAAGAAATCATACACTAGTGATGATGAGCTTGATGAGTTGGATTCACCGATGACTGCAATCATCATAGACAATTCCCCGGTTTCTCCCAGTTCATTGACAGCCAACTCAGTGCTGAAGTCAAAGGGTGGTCGAAAAGTTGTCAGATATCAACTCCTCCGTGAAGTTTGGAAGGATAGTGAATGATCTTCTCTTTCGTGTATGTATTTGGCGTGCTTGGGGTGGGTTGTTCAGTGATCTCTTTACTTTTCACTCTTGTACAGATATGAGTTTGTTGTATACAACCATATGAATGTTAGGGAAGTTTGTTCCAGAGGCATGGAGCCCTATTAATGTTTGAATAATGATTACTTGTAGAGGGAATTTTTTTGTATAATGGAAGCCTTAATTTTATTTTTATGCATCCACCTAATCTAGACTGGGCAGATGCTATAAACAAAGCATGGGACACAATTTTTGAGGATCTTGTTTCGAGATAGTGCCCATTTCTCGAAACAGTAGCTACTATAAGCAAAGAACAGGAATACAATTCAAGATGCTGAATATGACTACAGAGGCTACAGCCCCATGCATCTCTGTTCATCTTTGTTTGTACCTGCAAATAGCCACAGGGAAAAGTTATGAGACACCAAGCTATTATTCCATAAATACATTAGTCTGTTCATCAATTCAGGGAAATCTTTGGAATTTAGAGATATTAAGAGGCTAAAACAAGAACTATGAATGACGCCAAAAGATGAGAAGGAAACCACACACAACTAGAACATATTTTGCCAGGAAACAGATAGTAGGGAACCAAGAAATCTTACAACTTGGACTGTGCACCAGTAGCCGAACCACGCATTGTATCGTAGTGTCCATAACCATGATAAAGTACACGGATAGGGTTATCCTTACCGTACTCTTGACCATATTCAGCTATGATTTTCAGGCTACCAGAATCGTTGGCCCGCATATAAACTGTAATCGGCATCCTAGGAATGGAAAGTTATATAATAAGATAAACCTTTTGATCATTGGCAGTCTAAGTGCTTCTAAATCTTAAGCAACATAAATATATAACTCTAACCACAAAAGGAAGATGTTAAGATCAGAGGATTACTTTAGGACATGTGAGGACATAAGCAACTCAGGTTCGCCTCCCCAAATGTGCGGTTGTCTCATCTGTACAACATACGTTTCAAAATCATCTTCAAGAAACCTGCCAATAAATTAAAAATATAAGTACTTGATTGGAAAATGAGTATAAGAAGCACAATCTGTCTCTTAGTTAGGTGCTTTTTCTACCAACTAAATATAAATGGAGCAAAAGCATCATATAAAACAGGGATCCTTCAGAAGTTTACCATTCGGTGTCTGCCCTCCTTTTAATGAACTCATCTGCTACCTGTTCATACACATAATGTTTTATGTAGGAAATTCTCTGACTAAGAAAAAAGTAGTATAAAATTGAGTTCATTTTGTACTTTCGCTCTAAGCTCATCTGCAAGTTCTCTCTGAAGAACGTCGCTTGGAGATGGCTTCCCCGCTCTTAGACAAGCACCGTGAACCACAGACCGGAACAAACATCTTCCATCTCCAGGTATGCCTGTACAAAGCAAGCATCAAGTAATTCAGTCGGTTTATAAGATCATAAATTAAATAAACAGTTGTTGATGCACACAAGCATCCATTATCTATAATATGCTGCTTATCTGCTGGATTTTGAAGTATCTTGAGCAGAGTCCAGTGCAGCACCCAAAATTACATCCCAAAAAAAAATAAAAAATAAAAATTAAAGAATCACCAAAAAGGCCCTTAGAAAGTTCTCAAATGCCATAAGTTTGAAACTTAAAAGTAGGTGATATCAGAAACACACATTTGCAAATAGTATTACAGCATCAAAAATAAAATTACAAAATTGTATAAGAAAAGGAGAAAAAGAAGAAGAAAGAAATAACAAACCAACCTTGGTTGTAATTCATATTATTCCATAATAATGATGAACAACAGATGGAGGGAAACTTAAATTAAATCAAGGAGAAACAAAGACCATGAAGAAAAGCATATCAGATAGTACAAGGCATTCATATAAGTACTGATTAAGCTAGGAATAACCAAAAACCTTTATTCTTAACTTCAAAAAAAAAAAAACAAAAAAAAAAACAAACTTTTGTAAAAAAATAAATTTGGTACCAAGCAGAGATTTTGGTTTCGCCATCGGTTGAATTCAGAATTAAGCAGTTGAGAGAATGAGAAAAAAACACAAACTTGCTTGAAATACTCTCTAATGCCACTTATGAAAGAACAAAATGATGTACCTGCTTCTTGATTTTGATGTGCAATTGAATTTTCACCGTTGAACACAAGTGATGAAGACAACACCACCACCCCAGTCCACAGCTTTTGCTTTCAACCATCAAAGGAATCGAATTGGATGCTTTGCTTTAATTAAAGTTTAAAAGTTTCAGTCACCAACGGCTAGGATCCGTTACGCGCGCCCAATATCAAAGCTCGCCGTGCTGCTTATCTTCGGACGGTGCTTATAAAAATACGTAAGTAACACGTGTCAGCAACCCAGAGAACTCTCCCGCTGAATTCATTAGGACCCGTCCATTTCCAACTGGCAGCGTGCCAAAAAAGAAACTGCGCCCTTCCAAACATTTTTTTAGATTTTACTATTATCAGGTGCCATCAAATTTAGAGCTCGACACTTCTCTTTGACATAAATATGAGACCAAATCCTTGACCACTTTTTCATGATTATGGATTCCCGGGTATCCTTGGCGTCCCAGGTTCACACAATTTCTCTTCTCACCAATTTTGTTAGACTTTGTATTTTATGTTGTTGATATAAGCGATAGTCTTTATTACTCTAAATTAATCTAAATTTTGTAATTTTCAGTCAAATTTTTATGTCACATTTGGTTAATTTCGTGTCATGTTTTTTTTCTTGATGTTTATGTGTGAATAAATAAATTTCTCAGGAATCAACAATTGGAATCAAAATGATCAGTGCAAGACGGCGCCCGTTGCACACATGTGCGGTTTCAATCCTAGTGATATCTCACAGAGCCTTCACCATAGCCCAAGGTTTCAATGGACCCTTAGGCTTCATAATAAAATTTGCAGCCAGAGTGGCCACATTGGGCGGACCCTTGGCCTACGCCTTGCAATACCAATGGATCACCATGGCAATCCTCTCCTTCATCGACAATCGAATTTTAGCCCTTGAAGACATGGTCGAGAGATTCTACCCTCCATCCCACATTGTGTTTAACAAGATCGACGATCTGGTCAGGGTCACCGAAACACTACCCGGAAAATTCGATAATGTCATCAGCAAAATCCCCGGTTGCGTCAGCCATGTTTCGTTTTTGGATTGGACATTGGTTCGTGCTATTTCATTGCTGAATTTTGTGGTGGCTTCATTGAGTTATTGGAGAATGTCAAAGGGTACAAAGGAGAAGGAGATTAAGGTTGATACAAGCAGCAAAGTTGAACGCAACAATGAACCGGGTTTTGTTCATGAAGCAGACCAGCCTAAAGAACCCTTAACCCTTAGTAATAATAATAACTATAATAATAAGAATAAATGTGCAGATGGTGATCAGATTGATAAGGGTAATATTATGTCTCCTCGTCACGTAGGTGTTACCAAGGGTGCTACTTACAAGGAAGTACTTCTACAGAAGGCAACAAATAAGGCAGGGGTTGAAAAAAAAGAAGAGAAAAATATTAATAACAAGGAAGAAGTGGAGAGCTCAATTGCTGATGATGATGACGAAAGTGAAACCGATTCTAAGGATGATGGGCTCCTAGAATTGTTCGAATCGGCATGGCTTATGACGTCTCCCGGAAGAAATGCAAGTAGAAACTACACGCCGCGCTCTGTTTCATTCACTTATTAACAAAACTATAGCAAAAAATTCACCACGAATAACACATTTTAGGAAAAGAAAACTTCAACAACAGCAACAAAACGAGGGCATTTAGACATTTTTGCTAGTTTTGTTAATGAAAAGACAGTAAATGTATAATGTTTTAGAACTTGGTGAATTTGTAAATACAAAAATGGCAGTGTGGTTGGTCGCAGCCAAAATGTAATTGTGTATATAAACCTTGGAAGTGAGTAGGATTTGCTTGTTTTAAGTAGAGAATTGAATCAGTTGGTTCTGTAATCTTTACTGAGAAATGCAATGGTTGGAATTGTTCTTCGCTTGACTTTATAATCTCCAGTTGGTACGAAAGCGAAAAATTTGAAGTTTTTCAAATAAAGAGAGTTTGATTTCTCCGTTGCCTTAAACGACTGTGAACAGAAAAAACTCTTTGATTAACAAATGGATCTTACTTTGTTGTTTGCTTTCCATTATTTTCTTTCTCCCATATGTCATCTCGACCCACCTAAAACTATTAATTATTGCCAATAATTTTCTTCTTTCAAACAAATGGTTCATTATTGGTAATAATTTTATTGTTTAAAATCAGATTGGGTTTTGTAATCTATTATAAAAAAAAATGAATGGTCTACACGAATAAGAAAACCTGAAACTAGAAGTTAAACAACGTTGAGGTAAACAAAATCTTTTGTGTAAACAAAATCTATTCCAGATGAGCAGAAGAAAAAATGGACAACGACTGAAAGTCAATTATACATGCAATTTTTATTCCATGGCAAGAAAAATGGACACAACCTATTTGGAGTAGTGCCCGACCTTTGGTCTCTACCCCCGTTGTAGAACTTGTGAGAGTCTCGTGTCGGTAGATAGTTTTGTCATCGTGTTTGAGACATTTTCATTTATTGTCAATTGATTTTGAATTGTATTTTCGTTGCCGTTGCCCCAAATCATAGTTCAATAATTCTAGCTTTGTTGGTGTATGCAAATTTATTTTTATTAGGACTTAAATTTGAGATATTTTTCCAACAAAGGGAATAGAAATGTCATGTATTGACATGCGTCAGGTAACTCTTACAACTACAAATTATTATATATTTGAGTTTCAAACTCTTGGTCAATGAGATACATGCATAGTTTTTTATTCAATTTCACAACATATTAACTTTAGGTAAAAACAAACAGCTAGGAGGATATTTTATGGCACGGCCATGACAACAGCTCTCAGAGGCTGAGCCATCTGCAAAGTGATGCCAAACTTCTCTTCCATGTTCATGTTTTCCGGTACAACTCCATCTTCAAGCTTCCAATTATCGAACGAGTTAAGAAGTGAACCCAACATCAAGTTCAACATTCTCATTGCCAAGGGCAAGCCAGGACATATTCTCCTCCCACCACCAAACGGGATAAGCTCAAAGCTTCTGCCGGTGACATCCATATCCAATCCCAAGAACCTCTCCGGTATAAATGAGGCCGGGTTGTCCCAAATGCCAGGGTCTCTGCCTATGGCCCATGCATTGACCAACACTTGTGCACCCTTGGGTACAAAATACCCGCAGATTTCTAGGTCGGCTTCGGCTTTGCGGGGGAGAAGAAATGGAAGAGCTGGGTGCAGCCGAAAGGTCTCTTTGATTATTGCTTGTAAGTAAGGAAGTCGAGCAATGTCTGTTTCCTCAACTGGTTTCCCTTTCCCAATGACTTGTTCTAGCTCCTCTTGAGCTTTTGACAGTTTTTCCGGTTTGCATAGTAGCTCAGCCATTGCCCATTCCAATGTGGCTGAAGTTGTTTCTGTGGCCGCAACAAATAAATCCTATATTATTCACCAAATGGTTGATTACTTAGTCAGAAAATTAATCGGAGCTAGCATATATGTATAATAATGAACTAATAAAACTAAGTATACCATCTCAACCGTCTACGTAGTAAATTCGGTCTTTAAGTCAGTTTAGATGGTATAAACAAAAACAACCTTAATAATCACAAAAAGATACACTCTAAGCAATTAGTATGTGTAGGAAAGCTATGTCCATAACTAACCAGAAACAAATGATGAGTTTCAGGAATGTCCATATCCTCGATTTTCTCTTCACTCATGTTTATAAGATTATCCAACATATCATTGGCTGTGACATAATCATGTGATTTTCTTGTTTCCAACCTTTGGAAGATCAAGCTGTCAAAGAGGTCAAACATCTTCCGGAAGTGCTTCGTCAAACGGCGCCGTATCCCCATGGGATCAATCTTCTTAAGCACAGGAAAATAGTCGGCCAAGTTTGGTTTCCCGACCTCTTCCATGATACTCCACACCAACTCCTTGAATTCTCTAGCCGTCTCACTTTTCGGGTCCGCTAGATCCACAGAGAAGACAGTACGTGACAGCAAATTGAGGGTAGTTATGAAAGCAGCCCTTCCAACTTCAACTGCCTTACCTTTCACCACGCTTTCGCTGACATCAGTTATGAGCTCTTGCACTTTTAGGTGACGGTTGGCTTGGTTGGCGTCGAGAACTTTGGTGGCGAACAATTGGGAGTTGCATATTCTGCGAAGGTTTCTCCATTTAGCTGAAACAGGTATGAAGGGCATGCCGTGCTTGGCATGGCTGCAGGCTTGGAGTGCATCTGCGTTTGTTCGGTTGCAAAAGAATTGGTCATAGGTTCGGAGGACTTGTTTGGCGACGGTGGATGAAGAAACTACAACTGTGGTTATTTGGCCGAGTTGTAAAGTCATAATGGGGCCATAGCGTTTTGAAAGCTTGGTTAGAGAGATGTGGGGTTTGTTTCCAAGCTCTAGGAGATTTCCAATCAAAGGAAATGGCTTTGGTCCAGGTGGAAGGTTTGTGGGAATTCTTCTTGCAAATGAATATTGGAGGGCTTGGATTATGATCCAGGCAACCATAAGACATAATAGTACACAACTCAAGAAATCCATCTCTCTCTCTTCTTCCAGCCGTTAATTTTTGGCCCAATTGTTTAGAGGACATGAGCATATTTTTTCATTACAGATATATATCCTACATACATGCTATGAGATAAACACGAAAGAGAAAAACTTAGGTGTGGCCAAATAGACAGTAATAATATATACCTCTTTTCTTAAGAAAAAATATTTAAGTGAACTTCTCTTCTATCTCTTGGGAAGCCCATGTGCTTCTAAAATACGAAGCTGTGGAGAATTTTTCTGCTACTGTCATGAGGGGAACCAGCTCTCAAGTCGACACAAAAACTAAAAAATACA